CAGACTTGCCTAGCCAGCTCCGGAACTGCATAAGCCGACTCCTTGTAATAAACCTCTCTTTCATAAATAGATAAATATAAATACACACACACACACACACACTACTGGTTCCAGTAGAAACCTGAATGATAGCAGTTCTTTTTTCCTTTATGTACTTGATATATCAATTTGAGATACCTTGCATTTATTTATATGTGTATCAATATTCTCAGTTACACTGTAGGCTTTATGTGCATATGTGAGTAATTCCTAAAGGGCAATAGCTGGTCGAAAGTTATGCACATTTGAAAGATTCAAAATGTTGTTCAATTACCTTCTGTAGAGGTTGTACCTATTCATACTCTTACTCCACTATAGGCTTTACATCTTTGTATTACTGTGTGTTCTTAACATATAGTAAGTGCTCAGTAAGTATGAGCAGAATTCTAGGAGAAGAAACATGAATTAAGGTAGAAAGACATGAAGGTGTGCTAGACTGGAGGGTTATTTGACTAAAGCATTTTTTTTTAGGTGCCCTTTCTTCTACAGGTGACATGAGAATTTGGAATGGCTCACCCACATGGTACTTTGTCCGCAGCAGCAGCAAGCAGAGCTCTGAATTTGAGGTCAGACCTGTGTTTGAACACTGTCTGTAACATTCCACTCTGTGACCTTGGACAGATGCCTTAGCCTCTGTGATCCTCAGTTTCCAAATCTGTAAAAGGAAGGTGATGACCTTCCAGACTCGTGTGAAGATCAAAAGAGATACATATGGAAAGAACCTGGTCCATTGGGGTTATAAAAGGTCTGGAACATGGAGGTTATAATAAGGTCCTTTCTCCAAATCTGGGAACAAGAAGCAACAATGTCTCAGAGCCAACCTATAAACTGAGCACAGAAAGCATCTGAGCAGAGACATGAGGTGACCTTGAAAGGACAAGACACCAACCGGGCTGACTTGAGTGAAATACCTAACAGAGGCTATACCAACCAGAAGGGGATTCATCAGAGATAAAACCTAGAAAAAGCAGAGTCAGAGACAAAGCGGAGCTGCGCCACTGAAGCCTTGTCTCATTAGGCCCCAAAATTCCAGCTAAAAGGTGATTCCACTCATAGCAACATACCCATCTGGCTGCCCAAGCTTAGTGTCGTTCAGTCTTTCATGGCTTTTTTATGTGCTGTTTCCATGCTGAGCGAAACCTTTCTGATAGTTTGGGTTCCTCTATGGCCTGTCTATAGGAAATGGTCTCTGGTCGGATTCACCTGGCCAGCCAGCTCTCTCAAAACCAATATCCCACTCAAACACCTGTGTTCCTTTTCATTCTAGGGGTCAGGCAGGACAGTCTGACCCAGATGGCAGAAGAAAGAGCAATCACATTTGTGTCTAATTCACAGCTCTAATTAAGATGAGAAAAAGAAAAATAGAGCACGAGGAGAAATGGAGAGCTGGGAAATTATGAAAGCTCCCACATCTCTATGGGGATGGCATCCTCGTGAACCTTGCTTTCGTTATTAAGCTGATCTCACACCATCGCTGTCAGGAAAACAGTGCAAGGATTTGTCCTGCTTGTTCCTGAAAAGACTTAAGGAAGGCAGGCATTAACGGCTATCCTCCTTGATTAATGATAAAACCAAAGTGGTAATAAGAAGATATTTGTCCAGGATCACATAATTTTTATATAGAAGTCTAGGAACCAAATCTTCACGTTCTCAGTCCAAATACAAAGCTCTTGCCAGAGAACCAAAGTAAAGATGAGAAAGGAAGGACATCTGATCTAAACAGAATGCCAAGTTGGAAACACTTGATGATGGTTGGAGAGTTCTTTTAGATTTTTAGATTTTAGAGCTCTTGAGTTGTTTTAGACTTCTTATTTATAAAATTGAGGGTACCAAATTGTAATAGAGGAAAACTTTTGATTCCAGCCATAATAGAGTAGCTTGTACTGAACCAGCTATCCTGCTGAAAACAACTATTAACAGCTGCACAGAATATTTAACACAAGCATTTGAAGGCATTGAAGAGCGACCAATGCAGACCATCCCTAAGAGCAGGTAAGCACACCAAGGGGAGCTCCATAGTCTCCCTGGCCCAATTCACAGGGCAGGGAATAGAGTAAGTGGCAGTTACTGTATTATTCTATTGGGCTGAGGAGACAGATTGGAGTTCAAAGCCGCCAAAGTGGCTGGAACATAGGTGGTGAAATCTCACAGAGGAGGGAATTGCAGACAAGTGAACCGGGAAGGCTAGAAGCAATCCCCCCATTAAGATGCTTGTTAATTCCCAAGGGAAGGGAGTTAGTGACTATAGGAAAGCTAATGGAAAGCCACATCTGGGCGGCTGGCTGAAGCGCTGTGCAAAGATTTTGCCAGAGAATGGTACTGAAGAGACTGAGGGTGGACTTCAAGGTTCACCAGCACCCAAACCTCTGACTGAGGCTCCAGAAAGACCATAGCTTGGTAATGAAGGTAAACCCAAAAGGACCAACCCTAACAAAGCCTAAAACCAACCCTCGACAGGATTAAGGTGATTCGCCTGTACCGTCTGCCTTCCTTTTAGAAAAAAGATGAAATAATCCAGAACTTCTAAAAGCTAATAACCAGTAAGCTAAAATAGGAGGAAAAAAATAGAATAATAAAAAAATGCTTGATTCTTCTCCCAAAAAAAGACAAAAAAGGAGAAATAAAGGACTAAAGAAGAAATATAACAAGATAGTAAATATAAACATTTCAATAATTACATTAAATGTTAATAGATTATTACTCCAGTTGAAAGACCAAAATTGCTTTTGGATTAAAAAAGCAAAATCCATGTGTTGTTTACTAGAGACTCAACTTAATTATAAAAACACAAAGTTTTTTTTTT